TCGGGGTTGAGGGGTTGGGGGTTTAGGGTTCAGGGGTTTAGGGTGCTGCTCGCTCGGGCTTCCCATATCGAAACTACTGCAATGATTGGGTGTTGGGGCCTGGGGTTTAGGGTTTACGGCTTACCTTAACCCAACAACCCAACTTTTTTACGGACGCCTACAAGACAAAATCATGAGAAGGATCCCAGAAATGCAGCTTTGTTCGAGTCCAGGTGGAGGGACGCTGGGATGCTGCTAGGTCTGAGCCGGAGGCTGAACACCATAGAGTTGGGGGGTTTAGGGGTTTAGGGTTTAGGTTGCATAAGGTAGGGCTTCACGGTGTACCATAGGGCCTGAGCAATTGGAGTAAGGTCTTGGGGCATGGTATAGTATGAGAACATCACATAGGGACATTACAGTAAGGAACATTACTACTTGCTATTCAGACCCTTCGTGTCGTGGTTGCACATGCTGAGCGTGAGAGACTGTTCGGAATTTTCGGGTCGCTATTTCCGTTTAAGGTCGAACGACGTCGAGTCTCTTCTGGAGTTGGAGCCTCGAATCATACTAGCTTGCGGCCTTGCAGATGTTGAGGTGCTACAGCGATTTTGGGGTGTTGGGTCGAGCCTCTCCAAAACCGACCGACAACCCGGCTCGCCCCAGGCCCAAAATTCCGAGCTCCCAAAAGCCGCGGAGCAACCCCAAATGCCAAAGTGCTAAGCCGCTTGTAGAATAGATCAGGCCGCTTGAAAAATCTGCTATATGGGTGGTTCTCTACATTGGGGTCCCTTTGTGGGTCCCAACAATAGTACGGCACCGTGAAAAAAAAGACCCTCAACAAGGGACCCGAATTGAGAAAACCCATATTAAACCCTGAACCCTAAACTCCTAAAGCCTTAACCCCAAACTCCTAAACCCTAAAACCCTGAACCCCAAAACTCCTAAACCCTAAACTCCTCAGGCCTAAACTCCTAAACTCCTCAACCCCGAACCCTAAACCCTAAAACCCAAAATCGCATGCAGAAAACGGCCCCAGCCCCGGGAAGCCGCAACCTTAGAGTTTAGGGGTTCTGGAGTTTTGAGTTTAGGGTTTAAGGTTTTGGGTTCAGGAGTTTAGGGTTCAGGGTTTATATAGGGTTGAGGAGTTTAGGGTTCAGGGTTTAGGGTTTAGGAGTTTAGGGTTCAGGGTTTTAGGGTTTAGGAGATTTGGGTTCAGGGTTTTAAGGTTTAGGAGATTTGGGTTCAGGGTTTAGGGTTTAGGAGTTTAGGATTCAGGGTTTTAGGGTTCAGGGAGTTATGAGTTTTGGGTTTAGGAGTTTGGGGTTTAGGGTTTAGGGATTTAGGAGTTTGGGGTTTAGGGTTGAGGGTTTAAGGATTTCGGAGTTTGGGGTTTCGGGTTTAGGGATTTAGGGATTTAGGAGGTTTGGGGATTAGGAGTTTTGGGTTTTGGGTTTAGGGATTTAGGAGTTTCGGGTTTTCGGGCTTAGGGTTTGGGAGATTTGGGTTTAGGGTGCAGGGATTTAGAAGTTTTGGGCTTAGGAGTTTGGGGATTAAGGTTCAGGGATTTAGGAGTTTGGGGTTTAGGGTTCAGGGAGTTAGGAGTTTCGGGTTTAGAGTTGAGGGTTTACGAAAAAAACTAACCCGTAGACCTGCACTCTGACAACTGAGAACCCAAAATGGCACATTGGAGCTTCGAACACACAAGCAATCCTGACATAAGCCCCAAACACGAGGGTCCTTCTTATGCGGTACCTCACTTTAAAGAAGCATCCAGATAGAACAAGGCCATCATAGCCCCAAGTCCAAGCACTAGAGGGTAAAAAAGCCTAAACCCTTGACCCTGAACCCAATGATTTAAGTCTGAATAAGCCTCGAGATAGTGGGCCTTGATGATATGAGGGTCTACTTATAATGCGCAACCCTTCCCCTGAACCCTAAACCCTAAACCGCATAGACCCTAAACCCTAAAGCCTAAACCCGAAACCCGAGACCCTGAACCCTAAACGCCAAACCTTAAGGGCCTTAAACCACCGTTGAAGTCCCAGGCCGCCGGTTGGAAGGGGCTCTTCACACACGCAAAACCCGAAACCCCCACCGAAAAAAAGGTAAACCTAAACCCCAAAACTCCTAAATCCCTAACCCCTAAACCCCAAACTCCTAAACCCTGAACCCTCAACCCGAAACCCCACCGAAAAAATGGTAAACCTAGCCGGACCGACGGCTGGTAAAGCGCGTGTAAGGCGTGTAGATAGGCGTTCGCAAGATCTTCTCGCAAGCGCCCAGCCTAATCGAAGGTTTAGGGTTTAGGGTTTAGGGTTTCGGCTTCGAGTTTCGGGTTCAGGGTTCGGGATCAAAGGGCTCAAGGATGTGGATTTCTGACGCTTTGCAGATCCCATTTTCAGGAACACCCTAACTTTAAGAGCCCAGAACGCCTCTGAGGAGGCGCGTGGCGTAGAGGGTTGAATGCGTGTGTGTGTGTGTGTGTGCCTTTAATGGGGTGTGGATGAAGCGGCGTTTTCTCGCAGTGTGTGGTTGGGAATGGCCGTGGGGGGGGGGGGGGGGCAGGAGCTCAGGGCATGCGTCGACCTGTCGGGCGAAGGAAAGGTGCTTGGGTTTACGGCTGAAGGCGTAAAACCCAAAGCCTCTAAGCACTGGGTCTAGGCCCCGAACCCTCAACCTTAGGCCTAAAGTCTGCGCAACCTCAGGACCCGGTTTACGGTTTTAGGAGATTTTGAATTAGAAGCCCCACAACCACCTAAAACCTTCGTGGCAAGACAATGAACTGAACCCTTGTAGTCCCTACTATATAAATAACTATGTGTATATATATATATGTAACCACACTGATCATGCTGATCATACTCTTTTAGCCCCCAAACCCTAGACCAAGCTTTGAGGTTTCTACACGTAGAACCACTCAAGACCCCAAGTAACAAAACCAGTAAAGGCTCTGAACCTCCAGGCCTACTTGTCAAAAGCAAAACCAGCGTCTTGGGGCCCAACATGCAGGTAACAGCAGGCCGTATAATGCCAGAAATGCCCCTAGGAAACCCGGAGTTTGCCCATTTTTGCCCTAAACCCTAAACCCATAAAGTGCTCCTAGACGCTGAGCCCCCTGTGTGTCTCACGAAAATGGCAAAGCCCCGCGTCAGAGTTTCACCCCAACGGCCAGGTCTTATATAACGGTCCAGGATCCGTTTAGAGTTGAGGGTTTAGGGCTCAGGAAGTCGAGGCTCAGGCGTTGTTATATATAGATTTTGGGCGAGCAAGTTGAAGGTTTAGGGACCCGATCCAAGAGACCCCCAATACACACAGCATTCCCAGAAGCTCCGAACTTAGACAACAAGGCGGGGAGCCCAAAGGCAGACTCCACAAAAGTCCGCCAAAATCCCAGCGCAAATGCCCAAAAATCAGTTCCATCAGACAACCCCCATGAGCCCAAGCTGCACCCATGGCGGTTCCATACCAATGCGTCGTAATCTGGTACAACAGTTTTCTCTAAGGTCACGGTGCACCTTGAAGTTCGCACATCCAGCTGCCCCACCTACACAGTGTATAGTTTACCTGTCGGGGCTTCGTACACATCCCTACGCAGCATCTCCAAACTCGTTGCGAAACGCTTCCCAAACCCTGCCCAAATCCTAAATCCAAAAAAACACGCCAAACCTTAAGCTTCGTAGCCCCCGAAACCTCCAAATCCTAGACTCCTTACGCCCTACACGCCAAACCGTGGAAAGCCAACCCTAGCGTTGAGACTGTACCACATAGGAGAGAATTCCGAAGCACCAGCTAGTAGAGCACAAGCTGCACATTGTGTAGCTTGGTGATGCTGCGATCGACTTCGTTCGCCGCTGGTGGGTCGAGGCCCCCAAGCTTGGGCACACAGAAGACCTAGGAAGGGAACCCTAAACCCAAAACCCCAAACCCCTAAACCCTCCTAAACCCTAAGCCCTATAAACCCTAAACCCTAAACCCTAAACCCCTAAACCCAAATCCAAAGCCCTATAAACCCGAAACCCTAAACCCTGAGCCCTTTCAACCCTAACCCTAAACCCTGGGTTCTTTACTGTTGTCTTGTAGGGCTTTATGGGGCTGCCAAGGACTCTAGAGGCTTCTAACGGGGCTCCCTGGCGTGCTAGGGGGATGTATGCATGTTTAAGATAGGGTTTTGGTCGGGTTTTGTCAGGGTGTCAGACTGTTTTAGGGTTTGGGTTTATGGCGCAGAATACCCAAACCCTAGAGCTGGTCCATGCTTCCACGGAAGGGCTTAGGTGTATGGCTCAACATTGAAGACGTAGGGTTTAAGTGAGGGCTCAGGGGCTTCCTGAGGGTTTCGCCTGCAGCCAGAAGGTCTCATTGACCAGGAGAAGGTCGCCACGCCGAGCACCCAGGGGCCCCTAAACCCTGAACCCTAAACCCTAAACCCTAACCCCCCCGGTACAGCAACCCGCAAGGCTGCTCGACCCTGGGTTAACCCGTCGTTTTTTGGGACTACTATAGGGGACCTTAGGGACTATCATAGGGATCTATTCAGGGAGTAGACCGCAAGAAAGCCCCCTGTGCCTGAAAGCACGGCCACCCTGAGCTCGGAGGCTTTCTTCGTCCCAAAGCCGCCACCACTAACTCACCCGGCGTCCAGGTAGGCTCTGCACCCATCCTGGCCTTCTTCCGTCCCCACCCATGTTCGCACTTGCATCCGGATCTCACCCTGCTCGTTGAGGGGGTAGGCGAAGAGTACGAAAAGGCGCCGACCCAATCGCTCCTCTAGTCTCAACCATCAGCAATCGCTGTTTTGCTGGCGGTTTTCCCCTGCCATCACCTCCGACGGTGTTTGCAGAGTAACCCTGCAAGGTAAGAAGTCTCCCGTCACTGCTGGCTGGCGGTGGTGGTTGAGTCGATGCCGACTCCCCCGACGAGCCATACAGCCATATAATCCTGTGAAGTCGAGCTGCCGGAGTCTCATCGTGGCATCCGCCTCTGAACCCAACACTTTGCTAGGTTTCGATCGTTTTACAGTTTAGGGTTGTTCAGGGTTTACGGTTTCAAGTCATCTCTATGGTATAGGGCGGGTGACGCATCAAAAGAAAATTGATAAGCATCTAAAAGGATTATCACGGTAGCCATCAAAAAAATTGATAGACATAAAAAACAATTTTGCTTGGACAGTAGCCATCAAAAAAATGATAGGCATCAAGAAAAAAATCTTGGAGGGTTAAGGATTGTTTTGGGGTGTTTATCAATTTTTTAAGATGCTTATCAAACTTTCTTGATGCCTATGCCGTATAGGGCTCACCCTTGTGTTGTATCGTGTTGGTCTGTGGCACGCCACACGCTAAGCCAGAACCATGAACCGTAAACCCTGAAACATGAAACGTAAACCCTAAATCAATAAACCCTAAACCCTAAACCATACACCCTAAGCCATAAACCCCAAAGCAAATACCCCGAACCCGAAGCCTGAACAATAAGCCGTACACGTAGAACCTCCTCTCGCATGGAGATGCCTCAACCATCAGTTTCAAATGGAGCACAAATCCAAACAAAAAACTGCTCAACAGAAACTGAAGAAACTGGAAATTCTGAATAACGGGATCCGGATAGGTTTAGCTTTGTTTCCCTTGTTCTGCCTTTTTTGTTTAAGTGGCTTTCAAACTTTGGCTAATCTCCCCTAAACCCTAGACCCTAAACCGCTTTGCCAGACTTGTCCCCCGGATGGCAGCCCAGATGCCGAGCTGTTCAAAAGCTCAAGCCTCGGGGGACGCTGAGGTGAAAGCGCTTGAGGTGTAGGGTTTGGGGGTTCTTGGGGGTGTAGGGTTTAGGGTTTTCGGTTTGGGGCTCTTGGGGGTGTAGGGTTTAGGGTGCAGGAATTTGGGGTGTAGGGTTTGGGGTTTTGGGTTTTGGGTGTAGGGTTTGGGGTCTAGGGTGTTAGGGTTAAGGGCTCTGGGCTTTTCGTGGGAGGCGGGCTTCAGCGGTTTAGGGTTCAAGGCCTTGTATCCCTCTCATTCCAGGACGAGACCTAGGGCTTATGGGTTTGGGGGTCGAGGGTTCCGGGCTGGTTGAGGGTTCCAGGCTCCAAAGAATTTCGGGTTCAAGACGGTTCAGGATGTCCGTTTTTCGGGCCTAAAAGGGTCGAGGATCAGCCCTAGGTGGAGGACACCAAGGATTCAAGCACTAAACCCCGCCGCGCCTCTGAACCGCAACCCTAGAACCCAGAGCGCCAAAGCCTGAAACTCCATGGCTCCAAGCCCTAAACATGAACCGTAGTGCCGGCTTAGGGTTTAGGGTTTTAGGGTTTTAGGGCTTAGGGTTTAGGGTTTAGGGTTTAGGGTTTAGGGTTTTTTTTTAGGGTTTAGGGTGCAAACATTCGCCCTGACGAGGTGCTCGTGCAGGATCTGTAGCGGCCGGTTCGCCGAAGTGGTGGAGGTGATACGATCCTTTCTCAAAGCTGCATCGGCCAAAACATCAGTTTCCGAGACTGCCCCTCTTCCTGCTATTTTCAAGAAACGAGACCACCAAAATCAAGGGCAAGGCGGCACCACTGCGAGACCTACGTTCAGAATTGAGCCCCAAAAGTGTGGTTGAAAGTGCACTGAAGCCACGACAGCTCCACAACCGACCCGGAAGCATTAAACCCTGAAACCTGAAACCTGCGTAGGGTTTGGGGTTTAGGGTTTAGGGCTTTAGGGTTTAGGGTTTTGAGGTTTAGGGTTTTAGGGTTTAGGGTTTACGGTTTAGGGTTTAGGGTTTAGAGCCAAGCCCAAGCCTCGTCTTCCACTCAACACAACATCGGGGGCCATAAGGATTCGACTCTGCTTTTTTAATTGATGTTTTTGGCGTATCTTGTACTATAAACAGAAAGGAACCCATCGAAAGTACCAAGAACACTAGCAAAGAAAAAAGAAAAAAACAATCCTGCTTAAACAAAACGCACAAACCTATGCTTGAGAAGAAGAACTGAAAATCCTGCTTGCAAGCAGATCCAACCAGCTTCTGTTGAAAGCAAACCTACGGAACCCGACAACCGAGATCCCCGCGAGGAAGCCCCGTTCTTCCGCCACGCGCGCATCCCAGATGCAGCCAAGCTCGGCCTGACTTCACAGGGCACGGGTGCTTTCAGAGGGCTCTTTCAAGGCTGTATGAGGGCTTGATACGGGCTGTACAAGGGGGCTGCAAAACGAGGAGTCCTTTGAGGGGTCTATGGCGGCTTGTATCCAAACCCTAAAGCCCTAAAACCCTAAAACCCTAAACCCTAAAACCCCTTAACCCTAAACCCTAAACCCTAAAACCCTAAACCCTCAAACCCTAAAGCCCCAAACCCCAAAACCCTAAAAACCCTAAACTCTAAAACCCTAAAACCCTAAACCCTAACCCCTAAAACCCCTAAACCCTAAACCCTAAACCCGAAAACCCTAAACCCTCAAACCCTATCTAAAACCCTAAACCCTCAAACCCTACAGCCCTAAAACCCCTAAACCCTAAACCCTAAAACCCTAAACCCTCAAACCCTAAAGCGCTAAACCCTAAAACCCTAAAACCCTAAACCCTAAAACCCTAAAACCCTACACCCTAACCCCTAAAACCCCTAAACCCTAAACCCTAAACCTAAACCCTCAAACCCTACAGCCGTAAACCCTAAAACCCTAAAACCCTAAACCCTAAAACCCTAAAACCCTAAACCCTAACCCCTGAAACCCCCTAAATCCTAAAGCCCTAAACCCTCGAACCCTACAGCCCTAATACCCCTAAGCCCTAAACCCTAAAACCCTAAACCCTCAAACCCTAAAGCGCTAAACCCTAAGCCCTAAAACCCCTAAACCCTAAAACCCTAAACCCTAAAACCCTAAAACCCTAAGCTCAAACCCCTAAAACCCCTAAACCCTAAACCCTAACCCTAAACCCTAAACCCTAAAGCCCTAAACTCTCAAACCCTACAGCCCTAATCCCTCAAACCCTAAAACCCTAAACCCTAAAACCCGCCGGGCGGAGGCTCAGGGCTTGTTTAGGGTTTTCCGTGTTTTGAAGCGGCTTCTCTAAGGTTACACACAGGGGCTTCGGAGCCGCAAAGTCTGGGGCTTAAGCTTAGGGTTCGGTTAGGGGCGCAGGGGCTGGAGAGCCCAAAACCCGAAAGCCGTGACATGGGATCCATTTCGTATGCCTCTGCGAAAGCGGTACAGACAAGCATATTCTAGAGACCCTCATAGTTAGAATCCTATCAAGGAGCCCTTGAAGGAATTCCAATTACAAAGGAAAGGCCCCTCTTTCGTGGTGAGGGCCCTCGAGTTTTCTGGACCCTAAACCCTAAACCCTAAAACCCTAAACCCTAAACCGTGGACCCAAGATGCCATTTGCCTTGAAAGCTCTGGTCGTAGCTTGCCGCACATCCTCTTCCGTCGTGCGTGAGCCTCAACCGGCTGGGCCGTTTAGACTCTTTAGGGTTTAGGGTTTAGGGTTTAGGAGTCTAGACGGGATCTGCAACGGGTTCTACATGAGTAGTTGTCTAAATTAAGGCCCCTTCTAGGTCCCCAATCTAGTACGGCACCCTTATAAAAGGGCTCTAAAAGGGACCCTAATTTAGAAAACTACCCACATGCTTTCTAGAATCTTTTCGGCCTCCAGGGCCCAACATTAGGCTCTTTTTGGGGCCTTGAGAGCTTTGGGGTGTTTTCTCGCTTCGGTGGCACCAGAGGTCTCTTTAAAGGCCACGAGATCTGAACCCACATGGGATTCCCGGTCATTTTGCCCCCAAGCCTAGTCTGGGGTTTGAGGGTAGATGGTTTGGAGTTCAGGTTTAGCTGTGGGCCTGTCCCTTGTGCCGGTAGACCCTGAACCTCGAACGCTTTTGCTTCTGCGTGAAACCCTCAACCTACCACGCTCGATACTGTCAAGCATGCCCTAAACCCTAAACCCTAAACCGTAAACTCGAAACAGCAGCACAACAGGCAAAGCTACCCTGGACCAATACCGAGGCCCCCAAAACATGAAGAAGATGTCTCCGGGCGGACAGACCCCTAAGTCCTTGGGTCCCAGAACTCCACATCCAAAAGCCCTAGACCCTAAACCCCAAAGCCCTTTACTCCCTGAAACCCTCAAGCCTAAACCTAAACCCTACCCCTAAACCCTAAACTCCAAAGCCCTCAACCCTGAAACCCTAAAGCCTGAACCCCACCCTAAACCCCAAAGCCTAAACCCCAAACAAGACCCCCTCCCCGAGCCCCACACCGAGCTGAATGTGAGGATTGCAGCCATCCTAGCGGCCCCGGTGTGGTGAAAGCTCAAGGTGCAGGACTGCTCTCTTAAGGTGAAACACTATCTGCTTCGGGTTTCCAGGCTTGGGGTACAGGCTGCTGGGACTTGGGGTGTAGGGTTTTTGGTTTAGGGGTTTAGGGTTTAGGGTTAAGTTAGGGTTTAGGGTTGGGAGTTGTGGAAAATAGTGGTTTTAAAGGCTTCAAGATGCAGAGCACATCTTTTGGAACTCGGGGCTTAACCCTAAACCCTAAACCCTTGAGCTTTCAGGGCCAAGGGCGGCGCGGGACGGTGATCTGGTCTGGTCCTCAGATTTCAGCCTTTCTTCATCCAAATTGCAAGCACACCTCAAGCTAAGGCCTAAAGCGCGACCTCAAAATGCTCTTACACCTCGAACAAGCCTCGAACCCCGAAACTCAACGCGCGAAACCTGAAAACTCGCTTGCGGCTCCTCAGTCAGGTGGTACTTCAAAGCGATGGCAAAACAGCGGATGAGCTTCAGGGCATACTGCTGCCTGTAGCATAGGATATGTTGTTTCTTGAGGTTTTCTGGTGTAGGCCCCGTTAGAGCACAAGGTTTGCTGATGTAGGCTAACTGGCTTGAAACCCTAAGCCCTAAACCGTAGATTTTACCACCAATATCAGCTTAAACCCTCAACCCGAAACCCTAAACCGTCAAAACCTTCAACCTTGCATCTACACTGCACTTGCAGGGGGGAGCCGCTGAAGCGCGCAAATTTTCGCGGAACACCTTGAAGCCCGAAACCCCGAAATGCGAAGCAGCAAGACTTACTTGAGGGTTTGTGAGAGTCAAGCATCCGTCTTGGGATGGTCGCTAGGATCCCGGATTCGCAAAGCCATGAAGTGGACGAATCCTAGCCCCCGGACAGCTGCTTTAGTAAATAGCAATAGAGATAGCAGTGTAATAGTAAGAATAGTCGTAATAGTACTAGCAATGGCAATAGTAATGGCAATAGTAATAGTAGCAAATTTTGGACTGCAATACAAAAAGAAATGATTCCTATGGAACACCCATATCTGGGACCCTTACAGGAACTGTTGTGGAGTCCTTCCAGGAAACCTAATAGGAAACCATATAGCTCTCGTTTCACCCTCACCGGACTAGGGTTTAGGGCTTAGGGTTTGGGGTCTATGGTTGAGGGTTTCGGGTTTTGGGCTTAGGGTTTAGGGTTTAGGGCTTAGGCAGGACCCCTTGTCTATCCCTTACATCAGCTTGGCCCCAAGCGCGTCGTAGACCTTGGCTGCTGGAAAGATGCTCTTCCGCGGGGCGGGGTAGGGCCTCGTTTTGTCTCGGGGTTTTGGGTGTGTGGCTGTAGGGTTTAGGGCTCACGGGTGGGTTTAGGTTTATGGCTAGGACGGTTAAGTTCTAAGGTCAGAAGTTGAGGGCTTAGGGCTTAGGGGCTACCAGATCAGATCTGTTTGAAACCTACATTCACCGGACACATAAGTGCAGTTCTCTAAATTAGGGTCCCTGTCTGGGTCCTCAATATAGTACGGAACCCTTACAAGAAGGACCCTAAAAAAGGGACCCTAATTTAGAGAACTACCCATATGAACCCTGACCCCTAAAACTCCTAAACCCTAAACCCTAAACTCCTAAACCCTAAAACCCTGAACCCTAAAACTCCTAAGTCCTTAATCTCGAGAGCCACCCATAAACTGAAGCAAAAGTCAACATTTGAGCCCAAAGATGGCAGGGGTCATGCGAACGGTTTCGGGTTTAGGGTTTTGGGGTTTAGGGTTTGGAGTTGTGGGGTTTGGGGTTTAGGGGTTTAGGGTTTTGGGTTTAAGGTTTTGGGGTTTAGGGTTTGGGCTTCGAGCCTGAGGCTTCTAAGCTTAGGCTGTAGTAGCTGTAGCAGTAGGCGTGGGTTTAGGGTGCCGACGTCATAGACCTCGAAAATCCTAACCCCAAAAACCCAGACTCTGGACGCTAACCCCCCAAACCCTAAAACCCCAACCCCGAAACCCTAAACCCTAAACCCCCTAAACCCCTAAACCCTAAACCCCTAAACCCCTAAACCGCAGCTTGATGAAAAGCTACACGGGACGCGGAACTTACCCAAACGTCCCGCGAACCCCTGGGCCAAAGGATGCCATCGGATCACTGCAACCCCTGCTTCAGGGTCTTGCCCTTTAGGGCTTTAGGGGTTTTAGGGTTTAGGGTTTAGGGCTTTAGGGTTTAGGGTTTAGGGTTTGGGGCTTTAGGGCTTTAGGGGTTTAGGGTTTAGAGTTTTAGAGTTCTAAGCTTAAGGGCGGTCTGAGGTTCGGGTCTAGGGCGAGGCTTAGTGTCAAGGGGCTTAGGGTTTAGTGTGCTGGGGGTGTAGTGCCCGGGGGAGTTCAAGGGTCAGGGGTTAAAGGGAATTAGTGATCATACGTAAAGGGAGTTGGGGGGTTTAGGAGTCAGGGTGCCCAAATAGACAAAGGCCTTTCTCAACAAGAAGAAGGTTCCTGAGCGCTTCGAGGGGGTTTCTGTGAGGTCTTAACCTTCAGATGTCCGAACAAAATCTCCCGAGAAGTCCTTCGGCTAGCTGCCGGCGTGCACTCGATGCCGGCAGTACCCGGCACCTTTGCGGAAGGTCGAGGTTCCTAAACCCCTAAACCCTAAACCCTAAACCCTAAACCCTAAACCCCTAAACCCTAAACCCTAAACCCCAAACCCCTAAACCCTAAACCCTAAACCCTAAGTTCAGGGTTAGGGTTTAGCCCCTCGGGGCTTGGCAACCCTCACCCTTCAGTCGACGAACCCCTACACCTTATAAAACACCAGCTTCAAAGCTACACCTTATTCAGCCGAAGTTGAAAAGGTAGTGAGCTTAAGGCCCCAAGCATTTGAGGGTAATTTGTGAGGGTTCAATGTTTGAGGTGAGTGGGTTTGGGGGTCAGGCTCTACAAACTCCGTGTGTTAAGATTTATGGCTAGGGGGAAACACCTTGACTCTCGACCCCACACAACATTGAAGAGAACCATACCACGAACTAACATGGAACCTCAAATCTCTGCTCTACAGAGCAGATTCCAGCAGTCTTCGATGAGTGCCCCCAATATTCATAGCCCAAAGCCTTAGTCTCTGAAGCTCCAAACCACGAGCCCCAGACACGAAACCCTACATCCTCAAGCACGAAGCCTTAAATCCTCAGAATTAAACGATACTTAAACTATAATTAAACTATGATTACACTATGCTTAAACTATGATTAAACTACAATTAAACTATAATTAAACTATATTTAAAGTAAAATTAAACTATAATTAAACCCTAATATCTCTCTGCAAAGAGGTCGCCCGGCTCAGAGGTCAGAGGCTCAACTCCAAGCACCGAACAAAAGCCGCCCACTGCCCCTTTAAGGGCTTAGGGTTTAGGGTTTAAGGGCTTCGGGGTCTGGGCTGACGTAGCAAAGCCTAGCAAAAGCCCCAAAGAAACAGCTCTAATTCCGAAGCATCTCCAGGGCCCTCCCCAGTCCCATCCTCTGCAACCGCCAATAATATATGCATTTGTAAACACCTTCAGAACCCCTTGAAAAAACAACCAAACTTTAAAAGGTACAGCAGAACCTCCGCAAAGCGTCTGTAAAAACCGTGGACACGAAGCCCCAACCCCTAAACCCTAAAATCCCGAGCCTGAACCCCTAAACCCTAAACC